CTGTGGAGGGCAGTGTCACTGGCCCTCATATGTGGGATCCGAACCGGGGCCCTCTGGCGTCCCAAGCCAGTTCTTAACCATCGTGCCACTCGGCCAGCCCCTGGGTAGGTTTTTATTGATTGATTTCCCCTTCCTCATTATAGGTCCAATTTTCCTGCTTCTTTGCATGCCAAGTAATTTTTTATTGGATGCCCAGCATTGTGACATTTACCTTATTGGGTGTGGTAAATAAATATTCTTGAATTACTTTTCTGGGTCATTATAGAGTTACTTGGAAGCAGTTTGAGCCTTGTGGGTCTTACTTTTAAGCTTTGTTAGGTGGGATCAGAGAAGCCTGGAAGCCAGGGTTAACTTTTCCTTACTACTCAGGCAAACTCTTCTTTAGGATTCCACCTGATGCCTCGATGCCTTGTGATATATGAGGTTTCCCATCCTCCCTGCTGGTAAGAACAGAAACTATTTCCAGGTCTTTGCACACTCCAGGGATTCTCCTCTGTCTGGAGCTCTGTGTCTGTGCATTTCTCGCCTCTTAAGTACTCGTTTCTATAAATCGTACCTGCCTGGACCTCCCTGAACTCGGAACTTTGCCTCCTCAACTCAACCATTTTTCAGTTGTTCAACATGGGATGTTAAATCCAGTCCCTATTATTCTACCATGGCTGGAAGTAGAAGTTTCTAAATCCTTTTGACATCACATTGGCCTTTGAGAGCTTCCTGGCTTTTTGGCCCAACAAGATACCCCGCTTGTCTTATAGATTTCTACTTTAGGTCTAGAATTAATCAATCCTCTTTTTTAGTGAGCAATGGTATTGAGAGAACACATTTTGGGTACTACGAATGCTCTTTGCTGGTAGGTTTTTTCAGTGGACAGAGCTAAAGAAATACATAATTTTAAAAGTCAGAAAAATTGGTGATTAACACTGGTATTTTCAATTCCACTTTAAGAGTACTTTTTAATTTTTTTCATTTCTTTGAATTTATACTCATATATGTATCTTCTATCTTATGCTAAAAATTTTTGTTCCTAACAATGTTAACATAATTACTTGTTTGTTTCATACTAAAAATGCATACAGTCATTTCAATATAATACTAATATTATTACTAAGAATCAAGACCACTGAATGAATTTTAAGAGTTCTTTGTAGTTCATTTTGTCCTGAGAGTATATCCCATCAAGAATGTACAGTCAAGGGCCAGCCGAGTGGCTTGCTGGTTAAGAGTTGGCTCGAAGGCCAGCCAAGTGGCTCAGTTGGTTAAGAGCTCGCTCAAGAGTGCGAGCTCTGAACAACAGCGGTTCAAGTCCCAGCCTGAGCTAAGTTGCCGCTGAGCTGCCAACAGGTGGCAGGATGGGTCAGCTAAAAAAAAAAAAAAAGAGTTGGCTTGGGAGTGCGAGCTTTGAGCAACAGGGCTGCCGGTTCGGATCCCACATGGGCCAGTGACACTCCTCTCTACAGCTGTGAACAACAGCTCGACCTGGAGTTGGGCTGCCGTGAGTTGCCGACGACGGCGTAAGCTGCAGCAGGCCTGCAGTGGGCTGCCATAAGCTACCGTGAGTGGCCGTCCAATGGCCAGCGACCAATCTGGCTCAGCCGGGAAGAGCATAATGATCACAATACCAACATGGGCCAGTGAAGCAACGTCCTCCACAACTAGACTGAAGAACAAAAGGACAGCAACTTGTCTGTGCCCCTTCCCCATTCCCCAACACTATTCCCTCCTCCAATTCCCCCAATAAAATCTTTAAAAAAAAAAAAGGATGTACAGTCAAAACACTGTTATAAAGTCAGTTGAATTAATTCTTCTTACTGTATGGATTAGGACATTAATATAATTTATAGGTAGGTTCATTACCTTTTACTTTGAGGGATATTTTTACAGGGTATGGACTTCTAGTCGATAATTATTTTGTTTCAAAACATTAATACTATTATTCTACTACCTTCTATTGGTATGGGGAAGTTAGCTGTCAATTTATTTCTCTTTTGAAGATAATCTGTCTTTCCTTGGATGATTTTAAGATTTTTCTCTTTGTTCATTGATCTTTTACAGGTGTGGATATCTTTTTATTTATCCTGCTTGATTGTTGAGCTTTTAAATCTGTTTTAATTGCTTTAGCCATTAACTCTTTAAATGTTGTTTCTACCCATTTTCTCTCCTCTAAAGGTTTTTCTAAAATTGGGATATAAAAATTCATTTTCAAAGACAATTGTATGGATTCTGTCATCAAAAGGATATAGAAACTGAAGAAATCCTATTCAGCTGGTTGGAAAAGGCCCTCGGGCAGGGACACAGAGCAGCAGCTGGGGTCAGTATCAGCTCTCCCAACAAGCCCACGCCAGCCACATCATCAGGGATGAAAAGCACTACTGGATGTCCCAGCACAGGATGGATTCTGATGCAGAGTAATCCAGTTGTACCAAATTTTGGTGTACTGTAAAAAAAACCAGGTAAGACAAATTTAGCTTTTTTCTTCTTAAGAAATTATATAAAAGGGCATTCAAAATTTCTTTTATAACCTCTAGCATATGCATAACCATATAACCAACCATAACAGTTTTGTTGGCATAAGTAACTTGTGTCCCACTCAGGGAATCAAAAGCAATAGAAAGAGTAGACAAATTGTCATTTCAGGAATGGTATCATGGCTCCTGCTTTTGCTGCCACTAATGAACCTTTCCCTCTCTCTAAACTAATCAGGTCACCCAGAGAAATGTGTCCATAAACATTGGCTCAGAGGTTTAAACTCTTTCAGTAAATCTATGATAACGAGCTATCTGCCTATAAAGAATGTAGAAGATTGGGCCGGCCGAGTGGCGCGATGGTTAAGAACTCGCTTGGGATGCCAGAGGGCCCCGGTTCGGATCCCACATATGAGGGCCAGTGACACTG